CTGCATACGTTTATAGTTATTAATAATACTTAGATAGCTATGTAGTTCTTGGAGAGCTTTGCAAGTGTGTGGAAGATGGCATCTAAATTGCTGTATAAGCACACAGCCGGTTTTACTGACTAAAGTTATACCTAAAACAACAAAATATAGGAAATATTAATAAAATATTTAACTAGTATTTAGATAAAAATGTGCATATAATCTCAGAAGAAAAGATGCTCTATTTTTGGTTTAGGAAATATTTATGCTTCCCCTAATTTCTCTACCTACTTCTAACACATGGATACTTGTTTCAAACTCAGTAGAACCATGAATACAATACTTGGATATGTGCAGGTTCAATATAGATCTACAAGTATATTTTTCTCCACACAGGTTATTGTTCTTTCTGCATGTAAGTCATGAAGACATTAAAAATAGTATTTTCCATTACTTGAAATAGTCACTTTAACTCCAGGAGAAGCTGCAAAAGTGCATCCTGAACTGCAATTTACAAAGCGATATATAGCCCAAAACAAGTATTGAGCATCACATTTAAGATACCGTTCAACACATTAAAGTGAGATGGAGGCAAAAAAGAATCATGACCCTATTGAATAGTTTATACTAAATTTTTATAAATTATTGAAAAGGTAGTTTTATAAATGAATTATCACAACTGTCATTAATTTTTAGTTATTTTTGCTTAATAATATATTGTAAAACATCTGAAAAATATAATGGTGACTACAAATATAAAATATACATTCATAGTTTATAAATTCTGTCTGAATGACAGAATCTTGTAATTTTTGTTTTCAAGGAAAAACATTTCATGTATTGAAAAGACTATCTTTTATGCTATTTTAAAAAAATAATAACACGTCTTAAAACTCCAAAGCTAAAATTTCAGTTTTTGAATCATCCACTTTCCTTAATTAGAAAATTAAAAATTAGTTTACAAGCTGCTATGTAATATAAGTGTAACTTTGAGAAGTCCTCATATTAACACTGTCCTTCAGAATTAACAAAGTGAGAATATGAATTTAAGTGTTTTTCCTTATTTGTGTTATAGAAAAACCTTATCAAACCTAGAAAAACAACAATTTGGTACAATTACCATTAATTACATTTACACAATGCTAAGCGTTTTACCTTCTCAAAGTGATCTTAGCTTGAGTGTTTTTGCTTTGAATTCTTTTTTATACTGTTAATACATCATCTCTAAGTAGGTGTACTGTTTACCTAAAAAAAGGTAAGTTTGTATATATCTTAAACCTCTGTGTATAGTTTTCATTCTGATGAAGTATTATACTGCATATGTAATTTAAAAAAATTAATTGTGATTATTTCAACTTGGTGGGATGTTTAAATTATTTTTATCTCCAAAACCAATATATTTGTTCTGCCTTCGTTATCTTATTTTTTTCTTCCCACTTTGCATTCTCTTTGTTTTTCTACTTCATGAGAGGGATTCCTTATTTTGTTTCTCTTATCTAGTAATCTTAAGTAAAACTTTCTTTTTTTTCTTCTAGTGGTTTATTTTATATTTTCTAAATAATATTCGGTTGGTGCAAAAGTAATTGTGGATTTGCCATTACTTTTAACTGTAAAAACCGCCGTTCTGTTTGCACCAATCTAATAATATTTAGATTATAATTTATTAATTCTCAAAATAAAGTGTGTCTGGTGATTCATTCACTTCTTCAATTATTCATTTATTTGTTTTAAAATTGACATTTATTGAGTATCTGAAAGATTTGATTTGCTCAGCTCTGAGGATGATTTACCAGACACTGTCCTTACATCAGTGATTTTACTGAATTTTGGAGAATTCCTAAATATAAATTGATTTTCATATCATGAGGTAAATATAATTAAAGAGAATAATTATTTAAACAAACCAATTTCTTACCCCAATCGTGGCTGTTGGTAAGCTACATTATCTTAAAATAATTTAAAGGATGGGTCACTATCATGTTTAAAGGACATTTGAGATCTCCTGATGATGGTTTTGCTTGCAGAATGTGTAGGGATTAGCTACATTTGAGGGGAGTGGGTAAAGGGAGCACCAAAGAGATAGAGGCCTGCCTATCACAAAGCTGAGAATGTCAGTGTGATATGAGTAGGAAATAACAAACAGCAACAGAAGAGAAGACTATTACCATTTTGACCTGTCAGAATTCTAATCATGCTCCAGGTCTGGGAGCCTCTGTCCTTTTCTCTAGGGGCATCTCCTGAAGCTAGGTTAGACACACGGATGCTCCTATGACACCTCATATAACTCTAACATTTTTAT